TTACCCCTGGAAGACTCAGGAGGGTGTGTAGGAGAGGCTCTCTCTCTCTCTCTCTCTCTCTCTCTTCTCTCTCTGTCTCTCTCTCTCACTCTCTCTCTCTCTCTCTGTGTTGCTGTGGGTGGGGAGGGGCATTTTTTTCAGGAGGGAAGAGAGCTGCATGTCAGCAGTGTAAGGTGTGGAGCAGTGAAGAGGGATTTAATGAGGCAATGAAGATATCAATCATATTGGTGAAGAGGTAGGCCAGGGGAAGTGACCCCGAGACACACACCCAACCCTCCCAGGAATTATCCAGTACTTCAGTGCCAGAGACCCAGCTGCTATCAGCTCCTACTCCTCTGAGCCCTTCAGCCATTTCTCTAGGACATGGGTTTGTTTTTGGGTCTCGCCTGGCAGTGCTCAGGGATTACTCCAGGCCGTGTGCTCAGGGATCACTCCTGGTGGGGCTCAGGAGTCTATATGGAATGGTGGGGTTTGTACCCAGGTTGGCCGCATGCAAAGCAAGTACCCTACCTACTCTATCACTCCGGCCCACCAAGGACATGGCCTCTTGAGATCAGGCAAGATGGTGAGGCAGCAAGAGTATAGCCTGTGATGAAGGGGCCACTGGCGTGGTGGGGTCTTGTCTGTGGAGACAGAGCTGACAACAATGGCACACGCCTCCACAAAATGGGAATCAGGGACGACCTCGCAGTGGTGGCCAGTCACATCACGTGCACTGATTACAGAGACCTAAGCGCACAGCCTGCAGTGGAGTGAACTCAGGAGGCCCCTGGGAAGTCCTGTAGGTCAACATTCCTCTCAACCCGCTGACTAACCCCACCTCTGACCTTTGCCTGCTATTGCCCTTTGCAAAGGAAGTTCGGAAAAGTGAGGTGTATTGAGTTGTCCTGTGCACTGCCCCTCCCACCCGGCCTTAGGTGGCAAGCTCTCCAGGGTGGGCCTCGCCTCATCACCTTCACTTACTCTTCTCATGGAGAGGCATCCTTAAGTCACAGTCCTGCAGAGTGTTTTTAGGATGTGTGCGTCTTTGCAAAAGCAAGAAATTCCAGTAGTTCAGGACCAGATGTGCAAGAGGGAGAAATCTGCATGATCAGGGACCCTGGAAGGCGTTCCGACGTACAAGCAGAGTAACTAATGGGGATATCAGAGAGTGGACCCTGTGGGAAGCAAAGGGCCCCACACCGCTCTCGTGTCACACTGGGCACTGCCATGGCATGAGGTCACCTCTTTGTTTGAGGAACAGGGGGAAGAGATCCAGAGACAGAACAGCACCGGCTCCATTCTGAACAGTGTTAACTGGGTGTCAGGCGAATGTCAGGCCTTGGGTAATTATTATTTACAAAAGCTGGAATTTAGAGAAAGTCTGGAACTCTTACCTCTGCATCTTTACTTTTTGGCCTCTACTCTCTTTTTTTAAAATTTATTTATTTATTTTATTAGTGAAACACCATGAGGTACAGTTGTTGACCTTATAAGTTTTTGTACTTGGGTTTCAGTTATACAATGATCAAGTACCCATCCCTCCACCAGTGCCCATTCTCCACCACCAATGATCCCAGTAACCCTCCCACCCCTCCCATATCCTCATCCCATCCTGCAGCTGTGGCAGGGCATTCCCTTTTGTTCTCTCTCTCTCCTTTTCGTTGCTGGGGTTTGCAAAAGAGGCATTGAGTGGCAAACTTGTTCAGTCTATAGTCTACTTTCAGCATGCATCTCCCATCCTGGGAGGATCCTCCCAACACCCTTTACTTGGTGTTTTCTTCTCTGTATCAGCTGCCCTTTCCCCTAGCATGTGTTGGGCTCTTTATTCTCAATGTACTCCAAGTGATACATACATATTTCACCTTGAGATTTAATTCTATTCCCCACACCCCGCCTCCCTGTATATTTCACTCACCATGTGTTATCAATGTTTTCACTTAACAGATGAGGAACTACGCCACCCAAATGAACCAGGGGCATATAGCTAGGACACAGCAGACCCAGGAGTTGAGTAAGTTCCTGGCTCCCAAGTCCATTGCTCTCCATCCTAACCTCTCTTCAGCTTCTGCTTTCTGTGTTCTAGCTCTCAGCTGGATCCGGTAGTGTGATGATATCTTAACGTCAACATTTGGGAATTTACATGAGCGCCAACAAGTTGTTCTGAGTCTCCTGGCTCACTCTACCAAAGACGCTCATTTCTTTCATGCTGGGACCCCCTGTCATGGGTTGACAGTGCAGTCCACAAACTGGGTTAAGGTATCATGGATGTCACCTCTCTCCAAGCAGGATTCCTGCAGAGATGTAGGACAAGGATTGGACCAAATGTAGGACCAGGGTATTCTGACATCCAGGAAAGGCTTCTTTAGTAAGCTCTTTTCGTTACTCCACATAATGCTCTTTGGAAGGGTTTGAGAAGTGAGGCTGGACCTCCAAGGATAATTGTGAGACCCACACCACCAGTCTGATTTTCTAAGGCTCCCTGTCATATCCTTCGAGGTAAGGTCTTTCTTACAATAATCACAGGGGAAGCAAGAGGCTGCCACCACTACTTCTGCCATCTCTGGTGTTGTAGTTCTCTTTCAATACCCATGAACCCAATGACCAGATGCTGCAATACTCTTGCAGTAACAACACTGCTCACACCAACTGTCCCTAACCTGAGAGCTGACTACTGTTGGAAAACAGCAAACATCAACATGGCAGGAGGGCGGCCCCTTTCCCCCTTCCACCTTGACAATGTCCCCAGTTCCAATTGACAATTCCCATCCATACTCTTAGCTACAAGGGAGTCTGTAGAATGTGGCTTTGAATCTTCTCACCACTGGAATAGGAGTTCATGATGCATGCTGAATGCCAAGCCCGTCCTACCACATATCAGGAAAAAATGTGGATTACTTATATGTTAAGGATTTTCTAAATGGTTTTGGATGAATACTTAATTAATGAAATAAAAAATATCTTAGATCTCTGAATATATGGACAGGTTCACATTTGCCAAAAGTCCTCGTTTTTGTTTTTTGGGATTGCACCTGGAAGTGCTCAGGGCTTCCTTCTTGCTCTGTGCTCAGAATCACTCCTGTCTGTGCTCAGAGGACCATATTGGGTCCCTGGGATACAACCCGGGCAGGCTGCATGCAAGGCAGGTGACTTGCTCTCTGTACTATGTTGCTGATCCCTGCCAAGAGTACTCTTAACCACCTGAAATGTGAATTTATTCCTTAAATAACACCAAGGAAAGTTCAGGGGTTATTCTAATAGTGAAAATTATATCCTAAAAATAATTTTTTATTATTTTCATGTTTTATAGAAATGAAATATTCTCTGATTAAAACAGAGTAGTTAATATAATCCTATATTTCTATCACAATACCAAATTTTATTGCATAATTTCTTCTGTGCTTTAGTTTTAGATTTTTGTTTTTCCTAACAGTACACCATATTAATTTCCTGTGGTTACACCCTATTAAGTTTTACATTGTAAATAATTTTATAATATTCATACCATGATTTACCAGCCATTCATTTCTAACTTAACATTTAGGTTTCCCCAATTGTTTATTATAAATAAATGCCTTGAAGAGATTCATGCATTTTCAGTGTTTTATATCATAATCTCAGACATAGAATAACAGATTAATGTATATCAGCTAAAGAGCACCCACTTTTATATGAGTATCAACAGCTTTTGATCAATGGTTCTTATAATCATTTCTGGCAGAAGGAAAACTCGCAATTACTAAATACCGAGCTTATTTCTATCCATGTCCTTAGCACTCATCTGAGGAGATGCTTCCTACCAGCTAATAAGAAGAGAGAAATAAATGGTACCCTTGCTCCTGAAGGCCCCCTTGACAATGCTTATAACACTTTGTTTGGTATCCTTGAGAACTGCCTGGGTTTTGCTGTGACCTAAACTTTGGGACCTGGGTGAGCACAGAGAGTGGGCGCAGCATCTGGAGGGTCCCACCCTCTCCTATCTGCAGGCCCAGCTTTCCTGATAAGGTGTCTGGAGCCCTAGCCTTCAGCTCTGGAGCATGCACATTTAGATCACAGATGGCGTGTTTCTTGGAGACCTTCACCAAGAGGCCACTCCTTCCCTTCTTGACTCCCCCTCTTTCTGACATGGAGCAAAAATGAAGCCTACTGGTTGCACTTTAAGAAGCCAACTTCAGATGTTTTGCAAAGCAGGAGACAGTCTTCAAAGACAAAATAGGTGCAGTGCTATGGGTTTACCCTCTCAGCCCCGTGCACCTCAGCCAGGGGAGCAAGTCCCTAGAGATCTCGTTGGGTATTGGAAGGAGAGAAATGTGTTGGTGCCTGACCCTGGTGTTTTAGGCCTTGGACAGCCCAAGTCAGGTATTTAACCTATAAGAGGAACAAACAACTGGAGCTCTTAAAGATACGTCTTCATTGGGCAAAGGAAAATGGACTAAGATGAATGTTTTTCTCCAGCACAGCAGCCTCATACTGGGCCTTGAGTGTTAACTTGGCCTCCTCCACTGTCTCATCCGTGTTTTCCAAAAGATGATGCGTTACGGAGTCGTTGCTCAATTCCAAAATTTCCTGCTCCCAGCTATCCAAGGTGCGCCATACATGATAGTAACTTCCCAGCTTCAGGCCTCAGGAATGCCAAAGCTTGCTGAACCCATACCCTTTGCAACCCCGCCCCCGGGGGATGGGGATAGGAGTGGGGGGTGCTGGAAAGGCCGCAGCTCCAGATCTCCCTGTCCCTAAAGCAAGAAGCACCCCTGAGGCCTCGCGGACCCTTCGGGACCACCCCTCTCCAGCTCGCTCCCAGCGAGGAGGCAGCACCATCCTTGGGCCAGTCCAACTTCCCGGGACACCCCAACGTCTCCGCTCGCCCCCGTCCGGTTGCTTGGAAATGTGCAGTGGACAGTGACGTCACACAGGGGGGGCGGGCCTGGAGGTCCGGCCCACCAATGGCGCGCCCGCGGCCGGCCTCTTCTTTTCCAGCGATTGGTGTGCGGGGCCCCGGGGCTCCACCCCAGCCCGCCATGGCGTCAGGCGCCGCAGCACCGGGGAGGTGGGTCCCACTTTAAGAAGTGAAGTTTGTCGCCCCCCCTCCCCCTCCCTGCCCCCCGCCTGCAGCCTCCCGCGGCCCGCGGAGCTGGCGGATGGAGCTGCGCCGCGGCGGCGTCGGGAGCCAGGCGGTGGGGTGCAGAATGGATGGGGACGGCCGAGATGGCGGCGGCGGCGGCGGCTGCAAGGACGCCGGGTCGGAGGACTACGAGAACCTGCCGACCAGCGCCTCCTTATCCACCCACATGACAGCCGGAGCGATGGCCGGGATCCTGGAGCACTCGGTCATGTACCCGGTAGACTCCGTGAAGGTGAGGCGCGGCGAGGCTGCGGGGACCCGGGCGAGCCGGGGCGGACCGCCCGCACGCGCGCGCGCGCTCGCTAGCTCGCGTGTGCGTTTGCATCCTGCGCCAGAGCCGTCCCGGGCAGCGCCCCGAAAGCACGCTCTGACCCCCCGGGGTCCGCGCCCAGCCGCTCCTTCCGCCGCGCGCCCGGGCTTGGGGGCGCCGCGGGAGCCCACGAGGATCCGCTCCAGGCGCGCGCGCCGCGCAGCGCGGGGCCGGCGATCGGTGGTGCCCCAGCGGATCACGCCAGCCCGTGCGCTCCCCAGCTTTGGGGTGTGTGTATGTGGGGGGTCCTGGTCCGAGCCGCGGCGAGACTGACCCCTCCACGTGCCGCGTTTCCAAGGGAAACCCAAGCCGCGACGCGCTGGTAACCCGGCTCGCGCTGAGAAACGTGGCCCCAGCCCGGCGCTACGCCTCCCGCCGTGGCACGTGTGTGGTTTCTGTACTCTGGCTTTGGCGTTTTTTTTTGGGGGGGGGGGGTGCGAGTGTGTCTGTGTGTGATCAGCAGGAAGAGTATGCCGCTCCAGAGCCCCTTTCTCGGGGTGGCACGTGCCACTACGCTTCCCCCGGAGCGTAGGGGGAGGTGGTGATCTCCCCGCGTGGGGACGTTTGCAGCGCTCCGGGACGTTTGCTGACTCTTACTTGAACACACCGCGGCTTGTGTAGCCGGCACCCCGTTTGACTGTCACTCCCCTAGGTAGTTTGAAATGCACTCCTGTAAGGGGAGGCGGCATAACCCCAAGGCAGCTGTAGCTTTCACCTCCTACCAGTCTCCTGCCCAGGAACGGTGTGAGGAAATATTGACACATTGCGCTTTGCTGGGCTTAACTCAGTCGCTCCCGCAACCCTGGGGAGCTGAGGATGAAGAAACCGCCCCTTGGAGAGACAGCCTGAGGACTTGGTTCCAGGCGCACTTCCACCTGTGCTCTCGGACTCCACCCCACTGTGCTTGGGGGAGTAACATACTGGCTCTCAGGCTCCCACCCCCGACAGACGGATAGTGGTGCCTTGAGTATTCCAGCCGGGCAGCCAGTGGGGATGGGGTTCTGGGGAGAGAAATTAGAGGAGGGGGTCCTCCTGGTGTGCTTACCCCAGGCCCTGCCCTGGAAGGAACCTCTCCATGTAATACAGTTCCCTGTGTGTTTGAAGCGTTTGTCTTCAGTGTCTCGGACAGACTGCAAGGGAAGTGAGGAGCAGGAAGATGTCATTTTCATGGACACCAGGCCCACCGGGTGAGGGAGTATGTCCAGGAACTAGCTGGCATCTCTGGCCCGGGGTCTCTTTGCTTTAAGTTTGGTTCAGGGCATTGTTTTGGTTTCTCATTAGGGTTAGGAATAATTAGTCATGCCCTCTGAGCTGCCTTTGACACTGTCAAGAGGCATTCTTTTGACATGTTTAAATTGTGAGCTGTGTTTAGTTTCCTCCCTGCCCCTTCTCCTGCCCCGAACTGGTATGTTTTGATCCTGACATCGCTGTGTACTTAGTATTAACTTTCCTGAGCTGCTTTCACCCATGGGCAGATTAACATGGTGTGTGGGAGAAGGAGGTGGTCTGCCTGTCTGGGGCTAGTTACCCCTGGCACTGGGAGGGTGAGGGCTTTGGCTGGCATTGAAATTTCAAATAATGATTGCAACTGAAGTCAAGTCAATAGAAATCACAGTTTGAATAAGGTAAATAAAGTTTTCTTGTTTTTTTTTTTTAATAAGGTACACGGTTCAGACTTTGCCCTTCCACAATTCTGAGGGTGGCCTAGGTTCTGGGGTACCTCGCTGTGATCCTAAATTGTGGTCCTGGCGGATTTCTATGTGTTTTAGCTTGTAGGCTTGTTTTGAAAACATTTACCATGTGTTTATCACCATTGCTTTCTCAGAAGGGGTAGCAAGGGTGATTCTTTCCCTTGTTCAGTAGACACTGTTCAGTGGTGTGCGCCTCTGAGCCCCTTTGCACAACCTCGGGGAGGGTGCAGCAGAGTGCTGTGGTCTACCGAGGTTTGCCCAGGAGTCTGCAGTCCTGGGGAGCCCTCCCCTGTGTACCTCTGTATTAGTCTGTTGAGGGAGACATTGTAACTGAGGCAGGAGCCTGGGGCTGGGGCAGGGTGGGGTGGGGGGCTCCCACCCTCCCCTCATGTACTTCCTGTCTCAGGCTCTGTTCAGATGGGTTGATCTGGTCACTTCTGAAATGGGGACTGAGTCCCCATCAGTGTTCCTCTCTGTTCACTTGTACCCCCTTGCAGTGAGTGCAGGACACCTCGTCCTCTTTCTCGTGATGTGAAATTTCAAATAATGGTTGCAACTGAAGTCAAGTCAATAGAAATCACAGTTTGGATGAAGGAAATTAAAGTTTTCTTTGATTTATTTTTTTTAATAAGGTACACGGGTCAGACTTTGCCCTTCCACATTTCTGAGTGTGTGTGTGTGGGCCTGCCTTTCCTGTCCTCAATGGTGTGACTCCCGGGGGTGTGTGTGTGTGGGGGGGGTTCTGTTCACATTTGGGACAGTCTGGTGTGCTGTTGGTTCTCTGGTCATAGGTGTAGAAGGTCAGTCTTGGTCATGCGTAGATCAAGAACAGAGAGCACTTTTCCGTGAGTCTGTCCCACGCTCCTGGTGCCAATTTAGCTGGTGTGCGTCTTTTAGCGCTGAGCTGTGATGTTGCAGATGGACATTTTCATGCAGCTTGGTGAGTGCAGACTTGGTGTTTGCAGGACATGGCCCCGGAGAAGTGTGGTTCCTTGTAGCAGGTTTCAGTTCTGTGTGCGCATTTCCTGCTCCTCTGATGGCCCACCACTGCCAGCGCTCACCAGCCTCACTGGGCTGGCCCCTGGGGCTTTTGGTGCTAGGTCATTCCTGCAGTTCTCAGCCTAGACAGTGGTGCCAAGGTAGGAACATGGGGGTTCTGTGGGGTTTCCTTCAAACAGTAGCTATTCCTACTCTTCTGGGGCCTTGCCACGGGTTTTCCACGCCCCCCCCCCCCCTGCTGTTCCAAAGTGCCTGGTGGTGTGGTCACCTGGCCCAGCACTTGGGGTGGATGTGAGAACCCCTGGTTGGGAGTCCTGAGATTGTGCAGAATGCCAGGTGGGTGGAGGAGGAAATTCCAACCAGATTAGGCACAGCTCTCCTCAACCATGCTGATTCCCGCCGTGGTGAAAGGGTGAAAGCAGGAAACAGGAAAGATTTGAAGTGAGGGACCGTCCGCTGACCCTTCCTCAGCCTCCTTTCTCTTGCTTTGCCTGTCGGGCAAACGCTGGCCTTTAACTCTGCTCTAGATGCCCGCCCTGTGCAGCCAGCTGTGGGCACTGCCATGCTGGTGCCTCCTGTTGCTGGCAGTGCTGAGACGCCCTCACTCCTCGGCCTTGCCTTGGGGTTCCTGTGGCCAGGCGCACAGCACAGAGCTCCCAGCACCTGCCAAGCTAGGTTGGCACCATGGTGGCAGGGCATTGTTCAGCTTGTAGGCGTGCCCCTTCCCTCCTCCCACCCGGTGGGCCCAGCCTTGCAAGCTGAATGGTAGCAAGGGTGCTCAGGAGTTGCCAGCCTCCCGTCTGCCCACTTCAGCACTTTGGAGGCAAAGATCAGTGCACTGGATGCTTTTCAGACTCATTTGAAATCGCAAATTGGTCTGGTTTCTGCAACAAGATTATTGTGATTTTTAAAAATTTTTTTCTTATCTCCTTGGGGCCTCTCTTTCTTTCTTTCTTTCTTTCTTTCTTTCTTTCTTTCTTTCTTTCTTTCCTTTTTTTGCTTTTTGGGTTACACCCAGCGATGCTCAGGTGTTACTCCTGGCTCTGCACTCAGGAATTACTCCTGGCAGTGCCTGGGGGACCTTATGGGATGCTAGGAATCGAACGCAGTTCGGCCGCATGCAAGGCAAACGCCCTACCCACTGTGCTATCGCTCCAGCCCAGGGGCCTCTCTTTCTTTCTGTCTTCCCTCCACAAGTGCTTTAACTGCAAGGTGGATGTGGGGCAGGTCAGAAAAGGGAGTCTTTCAAATGTCCTGCTCTTTACTTCTAACTCCCAGACTGCATCCCCCGGGGAGGGGGGGGGGAGGTGGGGGTGCATTCTGCATCTTCCATTTGGGGGTTGGGGCGTGGAGGGAGGTCTCACCCAGTCCCAGAGCCAGCACTTGGCCTGAGCTGGCCATCTTCCTGCCGACCTCTTGTTTCCGGAAATAGGAGATGAGTAGGCTGAGACTGAGGCATGGTGGCATTCCCTGGGATCTAGTAATGAAGGTATGGAGAGGCATTTGGGGCTTGCTGGGGGGGTTTCATTAACTGCATTGAACACACACCTTGCTGGGGGTGGGGGGTTGGAAACCCCTAGGGTTTCCATGCTGGAGGGCTTCCCCTTCCTTCCCAGTGTCCCCTCAGCTGATGTGCTCCCTGTGGCCACAACCAGTGCCCGGCCCTGTCCAGTGCCCCGAGGTGCAGCATTGGAGGCTGATCAGCTCTGTGTGTTTGGGGTGGGGAGGGGGTGCTTCACAGCCTGGGGCTTTTGACCCCCTGCCCACCGCAGTGGACTGCCTTTCCTCTCACTCACTTGCATGTCAGAACTGACTGACCTGCTGGTCTTCCAGTCTCTGGACTCCAAACCTTTCTGGCTCTTCATGTCTGCCCTGGTCCCTAACTGTTCCTTTTCAAAGAATTTTCTGTTTGTTTGTTTTTGCTCTCCAGTGAACTCTGAGGCATGCCCCAGGGGTGCAGGCCAGGCGGCCTTGAGGAGGCTTTGGGGGAGCTCCTTCCCCTCCCGCCTGCACCCCACCTTGCAGATTCCTAGCTGACAGTTTTTCTAGGAGGGATGTGGCTGATCACTTTCTCTTCCTCTAAATGTAACCTTGGCCCTGAGGGCCTGTATCTGGACTTTCACCCTCCCCCCAACTGTCTTGGGGAGCCTCCAAGCCCAGGCTTTGTTTCCTGGGTAGGCAGGACATTTATTCAGCTTTCCTGAGCGTTTTCCTTTTCTTACTCTGTGTTTT